TATTGAAGCAAAATTAGGCTGCAACTGTGCCTCACAAACAGGAAACTCTTCCTTCAGTTTAAGCATGCTCTAAAAACATGTTTTATAGACTGCTCTTGTCGGTAAGGAAGGATTATCAAACTGTGTCTCTGTCCATGCAGTTGCATGTTTTCGGGCAGGGAACCCCCACTATTAGATTCCCCAGACCAGATGTTGCTTCTCATTTGTTTGTTTTGGTTTCATTTAATTAGCTTCGCAGTGAGGATGGGTTAATTGTTGAGATGATAACAGCGTCTCCGTGGAACTGCCCTAGGATCTATGACCCCCACATGAGATGTCTTCTTCTTTCTTCTCTTGGCAGGAATTATGGCATTACCTTAAAGTGGACTTTTACTTATTAGGACATAGTTACCATGTGGTTTTCTCTCTATGATCTCAAGTCTTCCCTCTATGTCCTAATATTTTACAAGAATCTATTTCAAACATTGTATTTTAATACACTTTTACAGGTATATTTCTGTGCGCATTCTTAGAAAACCAAGCCCTGGCTTTTCTTGTGTGGAAATGGAATGCATTCCACGGCGTAAAGGAGAGGTTTATCTGCCTCTGAACTAACATGGCATTTTCTTTTTTCTTGAAGTGGACCACCTCTCCTGATTAACTGCTAATGTGAGCACAAAGATCAACCCTGGTGTATGTCAGAGTACTTGTGAGAGGATATGAGGACTCACATATGTTAAAAATATACTGAGGCTTGTTGATGTGCATGCACTGAACTTGTTACTATTTGGCTTAAATACTGTTACACAAAACCTTTTAAATGGGTTTTAGGGTCTCTTGTCAGGTTCAGCTGCAATTGGTTGTTCCATCTTAACAAAGGAGGTATATTTTCATCTTGAAATTTTGAGATGAATTAAATTGCAATCTGTTTAAAAGGAGTGTTTGTTCAGGCGTCACATATTATCATAGGTATTGGATGCTTCTTTCTGCCATGCCTTGCAACCATGTATATATGGGACCAGACAGGGGCTGCCAGTAAAGCATCATGCCCATATAAACAACAAGATATATGAACTTGGGTCATGGCTCCTCTCCTTGCATATCAAAGCTTGCAGTCACCGTTGACCTCAGAGGGAAGATTTGTGAGGGACCAGCAAGAAGCCTTCAAGAAAAGATTAGTTTTTTTTCCCCTAAGCAGCACTGATAAGTGGGGTGATCTAAGAGGACTGAAGACAGGGGTCTGATGCTTTGTACAGATGTGACAGGAACAGGGTGATACTATAAAAACAACCTGACCCCTTAAAAGCCTCCCTGATACGTGCTATGAGGCACAAAGACTCGCTAAGAGTGAGGGAATGTAAAGAGAGATTTAAGCAAAGGATGTAGAACATTAAAAATGAAACATTGTGGTGCCTGCTGAGGGCTTGAGGGCCGTGTAAAAGGATGTTGGAAAGCTTTCAGGAGGACTCGCTGGAAGAAAAAAGGAGATTCTGACATATTACGTTTCATTATCCCAATTTGTTTTGAATTTGCTTTTTACATTCAGGTTGGAGGTGCAAACTGTCCAACTGCATGTGAACATATTAATGTTTTGTATCTTGTAGCTATTTTAAGTAGCCCACAGACGATGGCTGCAGAAAATATGATTCTAATGTAATGAACGATGATGCATTAAAGAATCAGACCTAAGGCACTGTACACTGATCTAGAAATAAAGAAATGCAAGGAGAGGCCTGCGGAGTAAGAGTCAATCAGTAAGCCAACATGGTGGATACTTACAACTCCTTAACAACATACTTAAGGCCTATAACATCAGAAAGCCCCTCTGAATAACAAAGTCAAACTGACAGCACTATATGTTATAACGCATAGGTACAATATCACGTCTGCTGGTTAGATAAAGCGAGTGGGAGTCTAATTAGCTAGATTTATTGATATTAGCTCAAAAGAAGATTCACTGGCAAGATTTTCAAGGACTTTTTGATTGCATCCATCCGTACAGGAGGCTGGTACGGACGACCAACACAAGCCAAAAGGTGTCACACTATTTCATTTGAATCAGCTTATGAACATGGATGAAAATTTCTCCCAGCTTGTGGAAACATTTGAAAATAAGTAATTCCTCATACGCAGCGATAACAGGGATGGGAATGGTGGTATTTGGAAATTAGAAATCAAGAACTCCCACAGAGGTGATGCCATTTGTGAATAATTGCTAATGTGGTTGGGGAGTCTTTAAGGTCTACACCATTTAGTATGGTATTCTTCATAAAATAACGAAGTTTTGATTTTACGCACACTACAATGAAACAAAGGAGCAGGATGAAAGCAGGCAGGACCGCTGTTCTTCAAATGAGAGTAATCTCTAGAAACAAGTCCCCCTTTCAATAAGAGGAGCCTAATGGAAACCTTCAAGCTAAGAATAATAAGAATAATAATTACCTCAAGAGGGATACAGTATCATTTCCTTCCCTAGTCTAGACAGCTCTGACACAGAAACATGGCTTTGGTAACCCATTGAGAGCTGCATCCAAGTGTCTGCATCTCCATATTCACTCCGTCTACCATCTGCATGAGAACGCGCGTGGCTGAATGTGTGCGCTGTGAGTGTGTGACTCATGCTCAAACACGGATGAGTGTCGCTGTGTGGAAGTCTGTTTGTCTTTCCTCTCTCTCTGACACCGGCCCCGGAACACCGGTTTTTCTTTGGCGACGGACACAAATGCCGCCGCAGCTTCTGCGTTCGCTGGAAGCAGGTGCCGCCGTCACTGCTGATGAAGTTCCACCTCTCTATCCGCACAGTGTTGACTTATGTCGGATCTATCTTATTTCAATCACACCGTCCATGGCTCTGTCCATTCTATGTTTTTACCCCAGCGCACATTATTAGTACTTGTGGATTTTGGAATGAGGTTTTGTTTGGTTAGCAGTGTATTTAAGACATACTGCTGGCACTGCTCAATCCCTTGTCTGATATGAATGATCAGAATCGGTTGTTTAAATGTCACAATTTTATGATATAAAAACAGTGAGGTGTACAATCTTTGTCTCTCACTTCGTCTCACATCCAATTGCAAAACATCTTCCATCTTTAAAAATGTAATCTGAACACCTTACAATTATCTATATTGCCTAACAGCCCAGACTTTGAACTATGATTGTCTAGTTTGTCTATTACAGTTTACTGTAAATCAGCCGAATAATCATTTTGTCTGTTCACACCCTCGGATGTTGGATGGAAGGCTTGACTTGAAAGCTCACTGGTCCAAATCACCACAGTCTTGGAAGATATCAAGAGTAGAAACACAAAAAACACCAGCATGCCCTCGAACCAAAGTATTTATTCTGAAATCGCTCCATTAGAGCTCCTCAGTAGCCAACGGTGGAAGACTGGATTCAATGGCAGCAGGGAATGAGTGTGTGAGTTAAATTCAACAGGAATACTTGCAGAGACACGCTGGATGTTAATTACTTTGTCATTCTTTATCCACGAGGTGAGCAGGACGCAAGGCTAACTTGCTCCCCTTATTTATCTCAGGTTACGGTTTTATTCAACAGACTTGGATTTGCTGGTCCAAGTGCGTCAAAGATTGTGATTAAGGAAGAAGGCAGGTACGGGGAGTACAAATCCAATCATTTCAAAAATAAGCGTCAGAAAATGATATCACGGCTTTCATTTGCAGAGTCCAGAGAACAAGATCTCATCGAGGCCCGTATTATTTCTAAAATCGATCCCTACAACGCTCTCCAAGATTGTATCTTGGAAAGCAGTCCCAATCCTCTCGCCGGTTGGGAAACAACGAGGGTGTTGAGGGAGTTGAGTAGAGTCCGTTTCTTGGTATTTGCGTTGGAAGTGAGATGCATGCCCTTACAGTTTATAATACGGGTTTCCATCGAAGGGGAAGGCGGGCACAGTGGGCCAGAGTTTCCTGGCAATTAACATAATCTCACGGGGGGTCATCCACTGAACAAACACGTATCAACGAGCTGTTGGTTGTGAGTAAACACGCAAACAAGCGTGACTAACAGACTAATCTTTATTATGCTGTCCTTCATGACATGATTTATGTTGGAGACTGGCACATTGCAGAGTGAGTCACCCGCACCATCTGCCCCTTCCTACCTCACCTCTGCAGCACGCCTGTGTGTCTGTCTGTGCCCCTTTCCCCCCCTCGCGGGTGCCCACTCTTCATCAGCACTCCTCCCAGGGCTGATGGATGGGCTGTACATTTTACAATAGGACCAACGCCAGGTTCTTCCAGACTACCTCATTTCTCCAATATTATTAAATTCTTTCCTATCACCCTTCCGCTGAATCACCCCCTCCCCCACCCCATCGCCTTGTCGCAACCATGACCACTTCCCCATAGCACTTGATTAATCGCAATACGTCATTTTCTACCATCATCACACATCACTGTTCTGCATCCAGACCAAAACTCTACTTTAATTCTCTGGGTTTTTTAAATCAAAACCTCTGTGACTTCTTAGCAGATGCTTATGTGAATGCTATTCAGCAAGTCATTACTATCACACATCTAATACAATTAGATAATTTAGAGACTCTTTCACATCTGTGAACAGTGGAGGGAAGACCACACAGAAATTATTCTCTTCCTCAGAGTAATTATGTGTGTGATTTGTACTTTTATATGGGTGTGTGTGTGTGTGCGTGGAGAAGAATGTTCCAAACAAATTGAAAAAATATGTCTGGTGAATACCAATGTATTATTAGGGAGCATGGAATTTAATATCTGTGTTCTAAATGGTCCTTACTCAGCATAACTGTAATCCCAGGTCCAGCATGCATTGTCATGTCAAGTAAATTGAGTGAATCATGTTAATAATGTTAGTTCCTTTTCTTGCACTGGTGCAATTGCGTGAAGCAGCATGTGCTTTAGATCATTGTCTGGATCAACTAATGAACCAACAGCACAATCCACAGATCAAGCTCACGTCCTATTTTAATCACATATTTACAAAAACTAAAATCACTCAAGCTTGGGAATTATTTTTTGTACCTGTATAGACTTCTGCCTCTGAGGGATCCTCGACTCGTTTATGCTGGATCATGTAGTCAGAAACTTTGCAGCCAATCACGGGCTCCACATCCATCCACTCCACGGCTACCATGGTGCTTGAGGGCTCCAGGTAAGGGGCCAGGCGTACACTAATGGATCCACATAGAAAGGGGAAGGTTAAGAAACCGTTTATTGCCCTGTTCTGGAATTTCAAGTAATATTGTATGTGCGTGCAAAAAAATGTTTAGGGGCATTAACCAAAAATGGATAAGTAAGAATCCCATGTGGTCATTGTCATGTGAGCGAAGAGACTGTCACACCCCTGCCTATAGAGGACAGGGTGGTAGGTCTGAACAAACCAGCATTCCCATGTTACCTGTTCTCCAAAAATGTTTTCCAGTGCAAATTTCCTTCTTCCATCTCAAAGGGATAAAAGAACTACTGTATATTACCATGTTGCCTGCCCCCCAGCTGTGTCTGTCACAACATCTGGGAGAGGAAGGTTATTCATTTTTCATTTTTTATGCTCGGTGTTATCCCCACAGACAATAACAATAAGTACTGTGGGTTCTTACTGGGCTTACACTCTTACAGTGGCCAGAGTAGGAGATTTGGCCGCTGCAGCAACTCTTCTTTGAACCTTTCATGCCAGCGGGCATCGGCCCTGGGAAAGCATGACCAAATCTTTTGGTTGTGGCAAAAGCCTCGCCCGTCCTCTCCAATTCACCAACCACAATTCACAAACAAATCGATTTGTGCAATTCTTGCGCAACATATTGAAGTATTGCAAAAGAGGTTAGACCAATCTCCTCACAGACTCAATTTAATAACTGTTTTGGAGTTTATCAAAAAATCCTTTGTGGAAACAGCATATCATGTAAAACAATTATTCTCAAACCCATAGGAACAGTGTTAAAGTGGTAGGATATTGGGACATTTCATTATTTTCATTAACATTTAGTTATATTTGATAATGTGCGGAGGACCTCTGCAAAAATAAATGATAATTCACATTGAGGCCGCAGAACAGAGTCCTTTCTGCAGCTACACTACATTTTATCCATGTTGAGCTTTTAATATTATTGAAGTAGTAGTAGTGCCAATAGACGTTGGCCCTCTTTCACTCTTGAAAGTAATATACTAAAGGCATATTTTCAGTCTTGATTAAAGGCATTAATTGTAAGTTATTGTCCTTTCAACATTCTGTTTCTCTTTAAAAGTTCTCAGTGCAGCGGTGGCAAAGGGGAGGGGGGGGGGGGGATCACTCAGGAGTATTATTAGCGCACCTTGAATGAGAGCATGTTCTTTTCAGAGAAGTGTAGGGACTGACTGACAGCTATTAGAACTCTGGGGACTTTTTGTGTCTACAACTCTCTCAAGTAGCCCAGGAATCAGTGGAGATAGGTGTGTTTCTGCATGTCCTTGTGGGTATGTGAGGATGCCTGCAGAGCGTCAGTGCATGCATCCATGACATCCATGAAGTCCTTGGTGTCACGGCGTTACCTCACACTTACATTGGCTGCCTGAGGGGACTGCAGTTTGGCAGGCCATCCTTGCTGAAGGCACTCAGGTCACAGCGACACCAGTTATCAATGACATCGCCCTTTCCAGCACACCAGTATGAGCTCATTGTGGCGCTCTTGAAGGCCTGTAAAGGGTAACAGGTGAGAGAAATGCAATTATCTTTTGAAACATAAGCTCCACATCCATTTATTCTTACCCCACCCCCCATCTCCCATTCCAAACCAGCCTCCCCCCCACAGTCCTCCTATAGCCTAGCCTACGCATATAGGCGCACATCATTGCACATCTGTCCATATAACTCATCATTGGCTATGCTAATTTTATTTTCCCCATCTCCTAAATGAAATAACATGAACGTATTGCTTGACAATAATGAATTGTCGTCACTTTGATAGTCACACAAAGATAGACATGCTCACACCCACACACAGGGTGACCTTTTCCTACCCGCCATTCCCAATTATCGTGCGGCATCTCACTAACATCGACAAGCCTGCACTATGATATTATGAAGTAACTGTGACTTTTATGACAGAGGCGTGAAAGCTGTGCCTTTCTGTGTGGATCTGTCAGTGTTGATGTTGATGTGGTCTGTCTGTGCAGGAGATGGGAGAAGGGGTTGGGGGAGGGGGTTATATTAGGAGATGACATCATCTCCCAACATCTCCTTGTGCCGCTTCATTAAGGGGCGAGCAAAAAATCAAAGGCAGAAGCTCAGTCTTTCTCCAAAAGGCACCAAAATGCCAATACAACCGTTAAAGCAATAAAGTATAATGTCAGGGCTTTCCTAAAGCCACAGGCATGAAACAGAGGGAGTTCAAGGGAGTTTGCAAGCACTGTGGTTCCCCCCATCACACAATGGATCAATGGAGCACTCAGTTATTTATGTGCTCTAACTGGTTGCCAGTGCTGCCTCGTGAAGACAACTTTAGAGATGTACTTGATCATGGTCCCAAAAATAGGCCACTGGAATCATGCAGAAACATTATCACTTTGTACCAGGCTTCTGACCAAAAGCTGAGAAAATCAGCTCTTTTGTTCCAATATACAATGGCATTCACTTATCAAAAGGCAAAGGAACTGATGAGACCACACACATCTGTACGACAACTGCAAACACGCAGTGTGTACACATGGGTCACACTGCGTGTGTGAGTCTTTCACGGGAACTGACTTCTCCCAATGCCAATTGCTTTCACTCAAGGCAAATGATCTTCAGAGTGAAAGTGGTCTCAATGAGCAGCAGAAAAGGACTGGAAAGACCAAAGGAAGAAAAAAAACATCATAAAATCAACAAAACAAACAAAAAATGAAGGTGTGAACAAGGGAGACTCCCAACTCTCAAAGCCTCCCCCAGCGTACTGTGGGACAGGATTAGGATCCTTCAGCAGTGAAGGCTTCCTCATTATTCATCCTCCAATACAAGGCCCCTTAACGAGCACTCTGAATGAACAGTTATTATAGGGAGTAGGCAAGCAATGTCATCCATGGCCATAATATAACCCCCTCGCCACCGGAAAACAAAAAAGGGGAAAAAGGTAATTACACCCCCCCCCCCCTCCCCTTTGCTTGAACCCGTGTGGCTAACTGCAGCCAGAAAACAACAGCAGCAGGGGTCTTGCCACCTCACGTCAATGGGAAGCAGGCCACAGACGAAGGCAAGAAGAAAAAGCCGCACTCAGGGTCCATGCACGCAGACAGACTAGACAAATATGAGAAATGAGAATATGACCTCTGCTGCTAGGGGCAAAACACAGAAAGACCACAGGACCGCCGTGCGTATACCACCACCGGATTCCTAGCAAAAATCCCATATGGGTCTGCGCAGTTGATTGCATGGCTGCACATGTGAAAAATAGACAAAGCGATTACTGCCGTGTTTATGTTTGAAGAGTAATGCAAGCCAGTCTCCACTGGGTAAACAGGGAATCTAATTGTGGTTTAGAGAACGGGGTGGGAGTTTGGGTGGGGGGGGGGGCAAAGGAGGTAAAGCAGAGATGAGGATTTAGAGAAAAGCAAGAAAAAAGGACTGCTGCTACACATAAAGTCATTATATGACAACTGTGTGACTGTAAGGACAGCCATTTTTATCTGGCTGGCATTAGAAAGGAAAAGCCACTGTTAAGATGAACAGACACATTGAAAGGTCAAAGAGAGAGTACTTCTGTGTTCAATGCAGAGATACTATAAAACTGGGAAAGGGAAGGTTATCCTACACTGTATTGATTAAGTATATTTCCTGTATTTCCAAGAAGATGATAGATCCATACACATTCTATGCTGGCCAGATAGTAATAAGCAGGTTTCTTGATAAAGATGCTCCTATCGGATTGTAACAATGTATGACAGCAGTGACTACAGATCTTCTTTCAGGGGGCCGGGAAACCCTTCCAGTGGTTACAATAACACACAGTTCTACCATTTCACAAATGGGCCACGATTCATCTCCATTGACATTATCGATACTGAACCAATTGAGCTGAAATGTAATCACCCCCTGCCAACGGAGGGCAGCGAGTGTACCGAGCGTCAGCAACAACTCCAGCCACAAATTCCGAGCCTTGACGTCATCTAAACCCAGCAGACTCACTGGCACCAAAATACTATTTGGACCCTTCACTTTCGTAGAAGCCTGTCATGACTTACAAGAAGGAAAGGAAGGCCACGGTGACCTCTTTAATGAATGACTCCGTTAGTCTAGTCCAAGCTGACCGTATCACTGTCCGTTTTCAGAGGCTAATACGTGAAAACACTGGCCAGCTGGCCCACAGTATTGATTTATAAGATGATCACCAGGGGTGGTAAAGAGTCTTAGTCAGCACACACAGGACACCATCATTGGCGACCTAAGTGTGTGTGTGTGTGTGTGTGTGTGTGTGTGTGTGTGTGTGTGTACTCGTGTGTGCGTGCGCACACGTGAATTCGTTTATGTAGCATTTCCAATCATTCAGGGCTAATGGTGTTAACAACATAACCAATGGGCTGCTTCAAGGAAGCTTATCAGAAATAGTAGTTCTAGGAAATTGGACACTGAGGGCGACTGGCAGGTTGGTTCACCGAGAGGTTGAGAGCGGGTTGCCATGTCACTGGCAGACCCTCAACCAGCAGGTACTGCCTCCAGGAATGCCAACTCTGTCTAGGGATGGTCGCAGCTACTCTGATCATTCCGGCAAAGAAACATGACTAGTTTGTTAGCACGTTAACCTGGCTACAAAATAACAATCTACGAGATGGGCAAAATGGAAACATTCACCTTCCTGTGATTGATAGAATATTATTAATGCTGCCTTCATTCATACGTGCCTTGTTCATCTAGCAACGAAGGATTTAGGGTCAGTGAATTCTCGAGTCTTAACCACTGCTGTATACAATTAATGCTTTACAGGCCAAATCTTGACTACATTGTAGACTCAGTTGCCTATATATTGGTTATGTGAACCTATTGCTTAAACTAATGCGTTATATTAGAAAAAACATGCAATTAATACTGCTTCTTAGGAACCCCCCCCACATACAAACACATTTATCTCAACAAGGGCGAAATAAAAATCACCTCTCTACATTGCCATACACAGCTGTCATATTAGTCCACAATTATTCCAGCTAGGTGTACTAAACTGGAAATTCAGTGCGTAGAGTTGATAAGAATCAGTAATTATTATCTGTTGGAGTGTGCGCTCTCCTTGGTACTGAAGGGTTGTTCTTGGAATCAAAACGTGCCATGTGTTGATTACGTAAGGAGACCTACAGGATCGCCCATTGAAAGCATACGCAACGCGTTCGCCTGCATAATGCTCCTTCTGCTTTTGGTACAAATCTGTTGTTGCTGTTTTACTTCGGCGCTCCCTCGTGCCCCCGCTGAGAATTTTCTAGTCATAACCCTCCGAGGAGGCTGCAGTAGTGCGTTACGGTGAGAGCATGACTGCGGCCACTCTGCAAGATATAAAACATTCTGACCCATTAGACTCACAACCAATTTGTTCAAAAGGTTTGCCATAATTCAGTCACAGCATCACAGGACATGGGACCACTGGCAAGCTCCCCTGGCGTTCGCTTATTTATTTATCCACTGAGGTATTTCTCTACGGCACTAAGGCAATGTCTGCCTGCGAGTGTGTATTTGCGCGCACACCCGTGGCCTGTCAGCAAGACCACCTTAGTCGTGTCCAAGCCAATTCCAAGACTGGTTCCAGTCAGATTCAAGTCAAGACCAGGTTTAAACCAAGTCAAGCCCAAGAAAAGAGCCACCTCTGAGGTTCAATCGAAGGTTCAAGCAGAAGGCCTTTTTATCTGAGGAGTTGACGGAACAAAAAAACAAGCATTATAAGCTTAAAACATCTGCTGAATTTACTGTGAAAGGTTCCTTGCCAGGGGATAATCCTCACTAGGCATTGTCCTTGGAAAATGTTGCAAATGTCATATTTTAGTAGTACCCTCTCTGTGGAGGCAGATATATCTGGGATTTATAATTTGGACAATTCAAAATAAAACTGGATAGAGTTTTGTTTTTTTGGGTAGTCCAATGTTCTAGGAAATACTTTCATCCAAAAATAGTAAAAAAAAAATACTATTCAAGTATTTTTGCCCATGCACATGCCAAATAAATGTAAAAATAAATTCATGTTTCTTCTAAGCTACAGTATAGCTGTGTTTTTCGATTCGTGGTCTTTCGGACGAAGCAAAATCCCCCCAGGCATTATAACGAGGAGATACATGTGAAAAGGACATGACGTGTCCTGTCAAACAGTCCGGGAGCGGCCACTGAAAGATGCAGGTAGCAGAGAACGGAGGGAGGAAGGGGGCCAAAGGAGAGTGACACGTCCGTGTAAACCCAGTATTTGGTTTATCATAAACAACAACTAAGGCCCTGGTTTGGTGGATTCAGTGGGTTCAGGGTGAAAAACGAAAAATATATATTTGATAATAAAAAATAAAAAAATGCATGTCTCAGAAAGCTTTTTTAAGACTGTAGCTGTCTTTCCACATGTGCCCAGTCAAGTAGAAAGATAGTGTGCATGTGTGCGTGTCTGTGTGTGTGTAAGAGAGACAGATAGAGAGACAGAGATAGACAAACAGTAAGGCAGATTAGTGTGTGTGTGTGTGTGTGTGTGGGGAGGGGAAGTTTTTTTTTTTTGTTGATTGTCTCTAATGCAATATAGGTATGTGCCTTTCAGCCGTCGAGCAGCAGTTGCCGCCAAGAGAAGAAAAGGAGAAGAGGAGCGGAGTGATGGTCTCCCCTCCCTCCCCAGAGGTCGATGACATCAATCCGAAGCTAATATACCTGCCTCGAGCTAGCTCACAAGGGCTCGCTTGAGCCATCCACTGCGGTCTACCACTTCTCCTCCTCCTCCTCCTCTTCCTCCTCATACATCTCAGTCCCTGTGTCCCCAGAAGACCACGTGTTGGGGTATCAGGAGCGAGGAGGATGGATAGCAAGACGTTTGGAAGAGAGGGAAAAGAGACATTTTTGCTCTTCCTCACGTTCAGCTATTGACGAGGCCCAGTAGGGATCGTCTGATATTGATTGTGCCTTCTTTTCTTTGGGGCTGTGGTGCTTGTCATTAGTGGCACGTAGAGGGGGCTTTGCTATGTGTATGTGTGTGTTGCCTCTGAATTTATATATATGTGTGTGTGTGTGTGTGTGTGTGTATATATATATATATATATATATATATACACACAAAATGTCGGCACTTGTTCATGTCTAAAGGTAAGGTAATTAGATTCTTGATTGGGGGAGTATGATCCAGTTTGCTCCATGTGAAGTGTGGTGCGTGCGTTTTTTGTTTGCTGTGAGTCACCTCCAAATAGCTCAGCGTTTGCTTAAACACGCACACAGAGAAGGCATGAACCGGATGTCTTGTCAAGAGGATGCCCAACGAGAGCAAAATGAGGTAAATTAAATCTCAAGTGAAGCCGGGGCCCCTCCTAAATTACCATATGGAAAATACATCCGTTACGATTAACCTTTCATTGCTTTTGATATATATATATATATATATATATATATATATATAATGACTTCGCCACAAAAGGATAAAACCATGATGTAATCTTTTTATGCCCTCTGTATTCTAGTGGTCAAAGTTAACCAACTAATGCCACCTAGAGGCAACTTATTAGAACTGCCTCGATTGAATTGCTTAAGAGAACAATGGATGATGTACAACCACATCCCAACCGAGTAGGATTGGTGTAACAGTAAATCGACACACTTAATATCCATACATTGAATAATCCATAATAACAAAAAGCAAGATCCAGGCTTCAGTGACTGGATGTGGATGTTTTTATATATAAATATTTATTTTATTTTATTTTTTTCTCCAAATCCAGTAGGTATGTTGGCACTTCAGATGTTCTCCATTCTCTTTCTGGTTTTACGGTCCCTCTCCCAGCCTCTCCCTCCCCTTCTGCAAACACATCCTCATGCACATGCAAAATAGGCAAATACACACAGATGCACACAGTCTCCCCAAACCCCCCATGCTGATTTCTAACCTCTTTGGTGACGTTGTCTTGGACCAGGCTGTAGAGGGGCACCACGCGGCTGACTTCCAATAGCACAGGGACCGGGGAAGGCTGCTCACCATTCCTGCTGTTGCCAGTGCGGCCTCTTCCGGACACTCCTCCCGTCGTCGCCTGGTGGTGGCACAGGTGGCAGCCAGGTGGACAACTGCCCTTCTCCTCGCAGTGGATCTCCACGCCGTTCACCATGTCGTCGGACAACAGTTGGCTCCTCTGCAGGGCCGACAGGTAGCTGATGAAGGGAACCGACTTCAGTTCACGCCGCCCGCTTCCTCCGACCCCCTGGTCTGTTGCCTCTGGAGTGGTAGTCCGGAAAGGGAGGGAGGGCGATGGTATCATGTGGTGCAGATCAAATCAACAACAGTCATTTATTAGTGGTCATTTTGGGATAAAGTAAGAAAACATCTCCCCCACTTTTATTTGAATTATTTGAAAATGATGAAACCGAACCCCTCTTTACCAACTTTCTCACATCTGTAGCTCTATAAAAGTGTTTTATGAATCTTCCCGTGTGGAAGCAAAGAAACAGTAAAACTCGCTAAGTTGCATAAAGGGTCCACATCTGTTTTTAGTTTTGCTTGCTGCCAAGGAAAAGAAGAAAAAACAACAACGACCAAGCCTTTACTGTCATCATCTTTCATAGACAAAGAATGAATGGGAGGGAAAGAGAGGAAGGGTGTCACTGACTTCTTCTCCCTGAGTGTCACACACCACTATTTGATGTTCTCACTAGTTGGGGGCGCGGGGGGTTCTTCCTCGACAATTTTTGCTTTTAGTGACACACCATGTGGAAAGAAGAGGCGACAACAGAGACTGTTTCATTTGGAGGCAACGTCAGGCGACGTGTTACAGTGGAGCCATGTAGTTTGTCACGTCTGCTGAGATGGCAGATGAGGATTTGTGTCTATTTGCTTCAAAATAATTTGAGTTTTCCAAAGTAGAAATTAGTGGCTTTTATTTTGCGTTGAGACATGATTCATCAGTCAGCACATTGATGGAAAATGGATATTTGCAAATGGATTTTCCTAAACCAAGCCACTGAAAAATAGGGTGAAACCCCATGTTTAATAGTTAGATCTAGGTTTTGGACCAATTAGATTGAATATTTTAAATGACAGATTTTCACTTTTTACCATTTTGATGCCAGTGAAATAAAAAACTCTTAAAAAAACTATTGTCAGTGCATGACCCAAAATTCCTTTCTTTCAGAGACAGAAAAAAATCTGAATGTGTCTGCATTTTTAAATTGGAAAGTTCCAACTTTTTGTTTCTCAGACACAAACAGATGCATGCTTGTAGCTCCAGGAAAAGAGGACAACTGGTGAAGACGTTCTTGAAGACAAATATTTGCAGGACAAAATCATTCAGTGTGTCAACTTGATTTTATATCTAAATCAAGTTAATAAAGTAGGAACAAACAATTTAATTGAAATATATCTGAAATTAGTCTTTTGATTTCAAACCAAGAAAGTAGGTCTTGATGTAACTCAAAGCTGCAAAACGTTTTGTTTTCTCCAAAAATGCAAAAGGTAAGAAGCAAAAATAATGTGATTACAGAAGAAGCACTACTTCAATAGGTCTGTTTTATGTTGTGTAGCTAAAACCTGAATAATAAAATGACATAATGTTAATAATTAGCTGCATAGAAAGTTAAATCATTTCCATGCTCTAGCAAATTAAAGCTTTGTCCTTTGTAATGGTTACATTAAAGACAAAGTCAAGCTGATTACTGAGCTATTTAAACAATAACTTGCTATTAAAAGTGCATAATAATGTCTACAAATGTAGCATTGGGACTCAAACCAAAAGAAATTGATGATTGCAGAGCTAATGGGCAGACTAAAACAACCAAGCTGTAGCAGCAAATCCCTGCCATAGAATAAATAATTGTCTGTAGATAATAGGGGGAGGGGTGTTACTGTGGTTATGAGTCCAGTGAAAGGTCTGGTAAGATGAACACAATTCCACGGACATGACCCCAAATGATCCTTAATTGTTGCTATATTCCTGGTGTGTGAACGTGTGCGAAAGAGTGAACTGATTATGTACACACGTCTATTTATGTATGTCTTTGCTTACAATCTGTGTGTGAGTCTGACAGTCAAAAGGGTGGGTGATAACTGCATGTGCAACAGTATGTAAACAGGCTTTAAAGAGTGGACCAAGAGCACCAATTACATGCACTTCTTGATGCAACACAGACATAGAAACGAGCTGTCGTCCCCCCAGCTCTCACAATACTTTAGATCAGGTTGGCTTTGGCTAGCCAGTCTTATTCGCTCTAACCCCCTTTAACTCAATACAGTTGAAAAATGCATTTGATGAAATATCTGTCACATGTCTTTTTACCCCGCTTGGCATAATTAGCATACATTAATAGTGTGGGGTATTTCTACCAGTGTAAATTAGTTTTTCGCCTAATACTGAGTCTTTTATTAGACTTTCCTGTAAGAATTTCCATCTGAAGTGTTTTGTTCATGTCGATGTCTATTTGTGCAATGTACAGTCTTACTGACATCCAACCAACGATGACACCCTTCACAAGGGTGAACTAAATAGGACGGCGTGTATTTCGGTGCAGTTAAGGGAGTGGCCCGTCATTCGACTAACAAATTCTTTGCAGCGTGGAATGAATGTAATGCTGACTTGCCTGTCATCACACATAGTGAAGAGATAGATGTGTGAATTTTCTTGCCATTGATCCTGCACTGCCTTTGTTAATTAAAATGTCTTTGTAGACTGGTTGTAATATAATTATAATAATATAATAATTACTCACGAGGGACACATCCGTTCTGGCCAGGGTTATGTTGCCCAGGCAACAACAGCAAAGGTGTCACATGTCTTGCCAGGCAATTCAATACAGCTGTTGTTAGATTTGGTTACTGTTGTCATTGTTGTTTTGCTTTATTAAAACCACAGCTTTTAACAGATCTACACCATCTCTTACTTCTTATTTATTTAAGGCCCTGCACAATTATTGGTGAAGCAAGTGACACATGCTTCTGCAATGCTGATCCCTTTGAGCTGTGTCTTGTCTTCAAAGGGCTATTGCAAATAAACATCGTTTTACAGCAGTTACTTGGCACGGGTCTACTAATACAATACATTTAATAAATGACAATCAAATGGTATTTTCAATTTGACCAGCCAACAAAAAGCAGTTTCTCATATGGTGCTAATTCACACATCAACTCTACACCACTTTGTGGCAGCAGTTTTGAACAGACATCTTCTCAAAGACTTACTCTGACATCTAGTGGTCTCTAACTATAATTACTGAGTAAAAACCTGAATGGTCAAAGAATGACCTCCTAACATCTATTCCTAACCACTATTCCTTGACTTTTGTGGAAAACGTCACGGGGTCAAGGAAAGATGGTTAGGAGAATTCATGAGGAGTTAGGAAAAGACTACGTAGTTATGATGCAGCTGCGAAACCCCAATTTCTCTGAAGATGGAGTACAAAGAAGGACCTTTAAGATATGATTCGCCCAAAGTTAGGTTAAGTTAAGTAATCATATGAGTGTTTATTTTAAAGATGGCATGGTATGATAATAAGATATGTCTTCCTGCTGAACACCAAAATCGTTCCATCCAGTTGTATCATACTTCAAGACGTATTTTACAAATTTCCATCTTACAAGGAAAAGTATTAAGACAAGGTATTTGGAATGAAACTTTGCCTTGCTCTCTTTTTATGTTAATATTTTACTGTTGAGAAAAAGGGAGAAAAAAAATAATATTCTCCTGATATTTGACGTTAAACTGGGACGGGCGTTGGGACCCTGGGGAGAGGTTTTGTAAACCCGCACAGTAGCCAATCAAAATCGACACTCTCAGCGCCGTGCGTCTGACGTAGCAATGCGTACGTCACGTGGTCGACACTGCAGTTTGACACCAGCAGCAGCAGCCGCTGCAGCAGGACCACAGCACGCCCATGAAACATCTGAACTTCGAGACAGCTAACGTTAACGTGTGGAGAACAGGTAACGTCCACAGGCCGAGGTGTAAAACAAGAGGGGCAGTAAAATGAACCGCGTGTTTTATTGTCAAGTGCACGTGCACCACAGTCATAACGTTGTCGCGTTGTTTCATAGCCTTCACGTTGGTTGCTTAGTCGAGGGGCCTGCCATTCACTTTTTTTTCTCCTTCTCAATTCGTCAATGTAATTCGTCCGTAAATCTGAAATGCAAGGTCAACCCTGTTCGTATGCATCAAGAGATTACATTCGTGCCCTTGCACATGACCTAGTTTATGGTGGCGTGGACAGCTCGCGTGTCAATAACAAATGTCAACAAATGAACATTTTGTTCGGCTGCCATTGGTGCACCGAACGGCAGCGTTACTAACGTTCGTTGTCACTTCATGGTGTCCTTTTTTCACCCGTTTGGTGTTATTGATCACATGTTAAACAAAGAGCGACAGGCTTGACTTAAAAAAAAAATACATATAAATAAATAATAATAAAACAGCTGATCTGCTGTGCTACTTCCAGCTGGACATAAAATGACTGTTGCTTGCATAAAGGGGTATGATTCATCAAAAATATAACAGAACACATTATTATTTCTCTTGTTTTCTTTTTAAAGTCTTTGTAAAATATCACACAGAACGCTGAAATATTACAAAAACTCCTCTTTTTTTTTTTGTTTGTTCCAACTCCAGGAAGAGGACCATAATGGAGGCAGCATATTCCCCGCTGGACCCAGATCTAATGAGGGAGGTCCTTGAATGCCCCATATGCCTCGAGACCTACAACCAGGATCAAATGAGGCCCAAGCTCCTGCAGTGCGGTCACACAGTGTGCCGGCAGTGTCTGGAAAAGTTGTTGGCCAGTACTATAAATGGTGTGCGCTGCCCCTTCTGCAGCAAGGTGTCCCGCATGAGCAGCATCTCCCAACTGGCCGACAACCTCACTGTGCTCAAGATACTGGATTGCACCACGTCCTGCAGTGCCGCCGCCGCCGCCCTGATGTGCAAGTCCTGCTGCAGCCGCCTGCCGCGACAGTACTGTCGCGACTGTGCCACGGTCCTGTGTGAGCTTTGCAAAGGCGAGGGCCACCTGCACCTGGGCCACTCAGTCCAGCCGATCCGGAAGGCGGCTGAACAGCGCCGCAAAGAACTGGGTGGCAGGCTGGCTTCTCTGCGCGACGTCATGGGCGAAATTCAGAAGAAAAAGGCCGCTGCTGAAAACCTCTCAAAGACCTTGAGAATCAAGTACCAGGCGGTGCAGCAGGACTACGCGTCGGCCGAGCATCGTCTCCAAGAGGAGCTCGGCAGGTCCCGAAGGGCGTTCAAAGCGTCCATGGCCGAAGTGGAAAAGCTGAACGGGCAGGTGCTGGAGGAGCAGACGTATCTCCTCAACATCGCAGAGGTCAAAGTCGTGTCACGTTGCGATTATCTGACGATGCTGGTGAGGCAGAGCGACATCGCGCTGCTCAAGGACGATGACGAAGGCAGCGATAACGAAGAGCTGGATCTGAGGGGTGGCTTGCCCACCATGTTTCAGCTACAGGAGCCGGGTCTCGTCCGAACGAAGCACTTGAAACCAATAGAAGTCGGCCAAGTGACCACAAATACTTATACTGTCAACACAGAGGATGAGGAGACTGGGTTGGAGATCGCGCTTGAGGGCGATGTAGAGGGTTTAGCCGGGGCCACGGCGCTTCATAGTGGTGGAAGGGGGGCTCCATTGGATCTTTACCAAGACATTAGCATGTTTGCAGCGGGAGTGGAGGCGGCCTGTGGCTCACCAGGCAGCTTCAAGTCAAAGTCCCTGGATGCAGGCGGGGGATCACCTGGAGGAGCTGGGCCAGGTGCCGGGCCTCCAGCCTGCCAGTTCGTAAAGAAGATGGGCACCAAGGGATCGCTCCCTGGCATGTTCAATTTACCAGTGGGCGTCTGTGTGACGCAGCATGGCGAGGTCCTGGTGGCCGACCGCGGCAACCACCGCATCCAGATCTTTAACCGCAAAGGCTTCCAGCGTGAAATCCGCCGCAATGCGAGCAGCATCGACAACTTTGTCCTGAGCTTCCTTGGGGCGGATCTGCCTAACCTCATCCCCTTATCCATTGCCGTCACTCCTCAAGGTCTGATCGGGGTCACCGACAACTTCGATAACTCCGTCAAAGTCTACACCATGGACGGACAGTGCGTGGCTTGCCATAAAAACCAGCTCATTAAACCCTGGGGCATTGCTGCCATGCCGTCGGGGCAGTTCGTGGTGTCCGACGTGGAAGGCGGCAAGCTGTGGTGTCTGACAGTGGACCGCAGTGTGGGCGTGCTCAGCTACAACCGGCTGTGCTCCGCCGTGAGGCCAAAGTTTGTGACGTGCGACGCGTCCGGAACAGTCTATTTCACCCAGGGCCTGGCCCTGAACTTTGAGAAGCGCCACAACGAACCCCACCTGGAAGGCGGCTTCTCCATCGGCTCGGTCGACACGGATGGCAGGCTGGGCAGGCAGCTCAGCCATTTCTTTTCGGAGAAAGAGGACTTCCGCTGCATCACCGGCATGTGTGTTGATCTCAATGGGGATCTGCTGGTAACGGACAGTGGCAGGAAAGAAATCCTCCAGTTTCCCAAAGAGGGTGGGTTCAAAATCCTCATCCAGGAAGGACTGATGTGCCCAGTAGGAGTGGCCACCACCCAGAAAGGACAGCTGCTAGTGCTGGATTGTTGGGACCATTGTGTCAAAGTCTACACATACATTCATAGGAGGCATTCCTCCACTTCCTAGAGGAACTACCCAGTCTATCTGCACAGGCATGACCGGTTTAGTTGGTGTGTGTGTTGGTTTGAAAGGGTAGATGTCACTTTAGTTTGGGTGTAGCGCAAACGTCTTACTTTCACTGAGTTGTGAAATTAATATTTGAGGCAGTTTGTTTTATTTTAAAACCTGCTGGACTTTTAATTTGGGAGCTCAAAGTAAAAATATGCTCGTTAAGCTGCTTCCTGCTTAATTATTTGATTGGATCACAACACTGAGACCTTGCAACATCTTTTACATAAAAAAAATACTGGCACAAGACAAATTAACATAAAGAAGAAGCAAGAAAGAATTTCAAATCGTAAAGATGAGTTTCCTTCCTCTGGTATGTTGCTCTATCCGCTATTCACTGATTTGGCTCTGCTGTGCAAAAGAAATGAATGAGGAAGAGGAGAATTTACACATAATTCATACCTGCAAACTTGTTGCTTTTTGGCAAAATTCGCCGCTTTGCAACAGAAGTCATCCACGTGAATCGGGTAGATCCAAAGAATTGAAAATGAATGAAATGAATCGTGCCAAGCGGCAGCTTCCATTACATTACCTTTATGCTTCCCACTCTCCATTGTCTTTTTCACAATGAGTTTGCAGGTATGGTGTTTACATATGAAACAAAGCATACCAAGGCTTTCGGCCTGTGACGCACTTTATTATTGACACAGCACTGTTTGCTAGAGCTTTAATTAAGAGCACAGGCTAACATTGATGTGGCTGAATGCACCTTTACGGTTAACTGTGTAGTTAACCAAGGGGAAAAGAGTAACCAATTATCAGCATTCAATGAATTACATTCAGGGACATTTAAGTTACCTCCAGGATAAAGGGTTGACCAATAAAATAGACCTTGGAGGAGAGCTGGGTGATACACTGCAGAGGAGATCTGTAATTCTGTAAATTGCTGTGAGTCCAAGCCTTTAGGAGATGATGGACTCGGAATTGGGGTTGCTGTTGTTTTTTGTTTTTTTTGTCTCAACACCGAGCAGAATGTGAGCTTAGAGGACATTTTCAAAGCAAATATTACTGAAATCTATTCGTTTATATTCCTTAATTCAACCTTTTTCTGAGGACTTCCCATCCACAGCCTCACGAGGAGTCGGGTGGATGTAAGCATCTGCAAGGCAACGTTATCGTCCTCTTTGGCTCCTCACTCTTCTTCTACTCACTATATCTCCTTCTGCAGGCCTTTCATTTTATATTTTGCTCATAAACAAGTTCTTCCTACTTTTTGGACAGAGCTGTGTCCATAATGATGAGAGAAACAATGGTTCCTTGTTACTTTTATAACGATAGAAGGGGCTCACAATTTTAAAATAGTTAATAATGGTTATCAAAAAGTTATTTTGAAGCCCTATGGGATTACCTTGAGCTACTCCAGACAATCATGTATAAACGAATACTGCCAGTATAGCTGACACTAAATAGTGCAATTAAATAGATTTATATATATATGCATGCATTTGATTCATCATTTTTTATCAGATGACCCGTTAGATGGTGATGATTTCACTAAATGGCTAAAATAACTAGAAAGACACCTTTTAATGCACTTTGTGGCCTAAATATTGGGACACTAGTTAATCACTTAAACTCGCCTATATTTGTGACGTATTCCATGGCCATAAAGTTGTGAATAGTAAATATGCCTCCCTTACTTTACCAGTCACATACTTTCAGTTTCAGCCTTAAAAATAGATGGTTTCCCACAGCCGACCTTAGTTCTATTAAACAGTGAGAATCAAACTGTATTGTAAACAATAAGTGTTTTAAATATTTCCAAAAAGTATCAGGTGAAGTCTTGTCATTTGTTTTATTGTTAGGCAATGTTATATCTCAATGCTAAACTATTAGATTGTCATTCCAGACTAGCTGCATGTCAACCTGGCAATAGAATTTTTATTTCAAAGCTTCCACTTTTTACTGTCACTACAAGTAGTTCTCACTAGAGAATATTCAACATTCAACTGAGAGAAATAATAGAATTATAGAAGAATTAAGTGTCCTTGTATCTGTGGGCAAAACATCACTGTGTCACATAATCTCTTTATGTCAATGAAGAGAAGTTATTTGATTTCATTGTGATTACATTTTCATTTCTATCATCGGCTTGTAATACCACATTATGTTCGTGAACCAAACTGTTCAGGGTGTTTTGCCCTTTGGAGGCTTTGAATTGTACAACGTGTTGAACACACTACAGACATCTTTGTGTAGTCAAGTACATGTTTGTATTTACCCCAGTGCAATAAACATTTACAAAAACACCAAAAGATAGCTAGATTTTTTTTTTTCATATTCTAAGATTTGTGTTTTCATCCCTCAAACATGTGTACTCATTTAATTCAGTGTGACGGTAATAAAAGAACCTTCCGTCACCATCATTTTAACTTTTATTTTTAATTTAAAAATGCACTATGTTGTCTTATCTGTCTTGTTGTCCACTGTCTTACTGTTTGATGTTATGCACCAACCGCCAAGTCAAATTCCTTGTATGTCTTGACATATTTGGGTAATAAATGTTCCTGATTTAAACATGTTGATTCATAATTTAACAAAGGCTTTTGAAAACCCACAGAGTCGTTTTCAAAAGTTGAATTTGCAGATCCTTTGGTTCAGTAAAAGTTCATAAAGTTAAATACTTGAAAAAGTATTAGAAGTAAAAGGCCCTAACTACCGAAAATATAAGCATTCTCACTGGGGTGGTGCCTCTTTGGGTGTTTTTTTGAAGAACATTTATGCATCATGATGTAAGAATTGTAGTTTGCTATGATCTAATTTTAACTGCTTTATCTACAGTTGAATAGTCTTACAAAAATAATGTGTGCAGATTAATCAAAGTAAAAAACAGCTAAATATATATATACATATTTAGACAGGAAATATGAAAATAAAATAAAAACCCAGGTGTTCATTTACACTGCTTTTGGATCTGGAACAAACAGGATTAAAAAAAACCCATTTGAATTGAACAATGATGATTTTAGGATATTAAGTCATACTGTTGTTTAATTCAATGAATGCAGCTCCACACGTCTCTAAACATGACCCAGGTTAATCTACGGTCAGAGGGCAGAAGTATACCCCCCCCCCACGTTTGGCCTGGCGTCTCGTCTTTCTGGACACACTCACCTTTCTGGTACTGCAGCCAGAGCTGCTGCTGGGCCTTCTTGCTCGGGAAGTAAATGCTGCAGCTGAGCTCGGATCCGTACAGGGCCTCGGATACGTAGTGGCTGCCATATTGCTGGAGAAAAGCCAGCAGCTCCTCTCGTGTGCTCTCAGCTGAGAGCGTCTTCAACACCTTGGAAAAGCCTGTCAGATCAGGACGCGAATGTGCGATTATAACATGAAAACCGATGCATCAGGGGCAGATAGACACACAAACAGAAAACATATGCAGGAAATATATCAAATATAACATGAGAAAGGCTAACCTGTAGATAAGGTGATGGAGCTGAGCTTGACTCTGTACAGATTACTGCGCACTCTCCACTGTTGAACCATAGGATAGCCCACTGCCTCGCTGAATTGGGCTTCGCCTGAGAAAGGGAGAGACAATTCATTGATACAATTTAAGACCGGGGAGAAGTAAGACCGACAAGTACTACAACAATTTGAAACTAATTACCAAACTTAAGATTTTTGAAAAAGCAGGCTGAAAATCAAATTAAATGAACTCACAAATGCCATTCGAACCATTTATTGCGTATCGATTGTTTTCCCTTTCATTGCCTTAACAGCATTTATTTTCCCAGACCATATCCCAGCTGCTCCCAGATCAATGGCAGATGTATAGTGCAGCTTGAACTCCAATTGCTTTTTGCTGACATTAGAAGTGGGCGCATTCTTGCCTTCCTCTGCAATGCAATTATCAAACTTTCACACCCGTTTAGAACTAAAAGCCACAAAAGTGAAGCGCGAGGGAGAAAATAAAATAAACTGCTTATGGGAACCTTGATCCTGTGCCTCTGGAAAACGTTTTATACCTGAGACATAAATTGCAGAGTGCAAAAAAAAAGAAAAAAGCATGTGTGTGTGAGTCCAATTCTGGTGAAAGCAGAACCAAAGTAATAATCTCAGGGGTCGATGCGGATCAAATGCCAATTTAGCTAATGGAGGGATTAGGGAGCAGAGGTGGAGATGCGGTGAGTGACTCCTACGAAATGGGATGGAACCGTCAAAGAAAGGATACGAGGATGAAATGGGATGTTAAGTGTTGGTTTGGGTCCAGCGTGCGTGTGCACAAGTGGGCAAGACTTTCCAAGGTCAAACCGCAGCCAAAGAAGAATAAAAAGTTCATATCTTGTATTCTGAATCTCACAAAAATGACCCACATGTCTTTTTTCACTCTCACCTGTGAGCAGGGCCAGGTTGGGCAGTGGCTCGGACAGCACCCCGCGGCATTGTTCCTCTACTGGTAAGGGGATGACCATCAGACCGTCGGCCAGTTGGGGAAAGTCCTTGATGAAGTTGTTGTCCCTGGGAATCGCAGGTGTAACAAAGTGTAAAAGGTTCAATTCCTCAAACCACATTAAAGACGTAACTATTTGGTATTAACCAGGTTATCGTGTTTGATTGTTTGTGTCAACCTCAACATGGACTCAGAGATGAATGAGGTGTGCGCGCGTGCGTGTGTGTATGATGCTGTGTGTGGGTGTAACAGTTGCGTCCCCGAGTTTGAGGGAAAAATGAAAATCTGCAGGCAAAGATAACACCGACGCCCCGGGAACCTCTTGCGTCCTCTCTGCGGGAGGCGGTGAGAACAAGAAAGAAGGGTAATATAAAAGGAAGCGAGAGGGTTGACGAAGGCCCCCGCAAATACACGAACACGGAATTGATACGTTTTGACGTTATTCTTCATGCTTTTAACGTGTTTTCCAGCCTTTTCTTTCCCTTCTCTATCTTTTGCGTCTTCGAAGCACAAAGTGTTACAAATGCAAGGGTTGATTCAAGGGCGCAGGAGGAGAGAGGAAGAGGAGAGAGGTGCTGTAAAAAAGATTACTGGGGGGGCTCATGCTCGCACAACAAATATCGATTGGTAAATTAAATCCGCCGTCTTCACGCCGAGGATCAGAGAACCCTTTTGGAGGCGCGTTGACCAAGATGATGTGTGGCGTTATGGATTTTCAATCCCAGACGTGGACTGTCCTTGACACTCCAAAAAAGAGCTCATTCCCTTCTTCTTTCCATTCATATATAAGAGTGTGATGTAGCTTATGGTTCGATATTATTGCTCAAAAACAAAACCGTTCCGAGGACAAAAAAAAAGCGTGTTAAGACCAGTGTCGCATTGGAGTGCCTGATCACACATAAAATCGTTAAATGTCCTTCACCTTCTTCTTCTTCTTTCACCTTTGAGGAAAAGCAGCTACGACCAGCATAGATTGCTGTGGCATCTTTCCATTTCTGCACCGGTTAAGTGGTGAGACCGCAAATTCAGAGGGGTCAAGATGTAAATCCTGAAGATTTGTGTTCATGAGGTTCCTCCGAAACCAAAGTTCTTTGTGTGTGTGTGTGTGTGTGTGTGTATGTGTATGTGTGTATGTGTAAATGTCTACCGGTGACAGCGGATTAGAAAATGAGACATTATCCATATCAATGCGACCCAAACATGTCAATGGCATTTAAGAGCCAGGGTCTTTCAAGGAAGATCATCTTAATCTTATACAATTCCTAAACTAAAATTCAGTACAGTGGCCACTGGCCACTGTTAATTTGTATCACCCCGCAGCCTCAAATTAAAATTAGTTTAAATGATATGATTCACTTGTCATGATTAGTTCCGGCTTTGCAAGCAGCGAATCTGACATAGAACTTCTTCAAGGCAAACTACTAGAGAACAGAGACCGGCCATCAGGATGAATTTGCCGTGCGTGGATCCAGAGGGGAGAAAGGGTTTTGCCATAGTTTGTTGTGTGTTTGTGACATTGTTAGCTTAAGTGCACTACCAATGGTCTCAATAGGACTAAAAGCATTTCTGTTTTCTCTAATGGCGGACTAGCGCAGATTGAAATAGATTTTCAGTCAAAAGAAATACACAATAGTCACTTTGTATAAACATTGTTTTCACCTGTTTTCAGAGATGCAAAAAGGTCGTATCGTAAAGCTCACTTTCACCTGATAAACTATTTTTTGAAAATGGATTACCTAATTGTTTTCTTACTTTTTAGTAACTTGCACAATTAGTGGACATTAACACAGAAATGCATGATGGCTAAACAGCAATGAGTTGGTATTGTGCAGAGAATAACAGTAAAGAAAAAGAAAGTGGAGATAGACGGTGATTTGCTTTCTGAGTCCTTTGGGGGAGAGGTTTTATTGCTTTGCATGCATGCAGAACGTATGTTTATACTGTATGTAAAAATAACACATATGCACACATAGATGACTGACAGATTGATTTATACCTTTTGCAGTCACCTTTAACATACCGTATGCATATTCAGGCTTATTATCATTGTGCATTTAACTCCTTTGCCATCTGTTCAGGGTCCCAAAGCAGCTCCGGGCAGAGAAGTGTGTCATACTCGCACTAATGAGGATTCATTTAGGTGGCTGGAATTCATAGAAGGCAATTTATCCAGGATTTCATTTGGACAACTTAAGAAATGAAAGAATACATGTTTCAGACAGGATTAGCTATTCTATATTAATCCATGCGCTTTCAAGGTGGTGTAGCCAGCGCGTTGCGTGACGCACATGTGCAGCTTTGCCACACTTCACAACGTTCTGTGCACCAGCCCACCGGTGAGCAAAGACTTAGCTGTTAGCTGTTTACTCATGTTTAATTCAATACCCTTCTGTGCTTATTACGGGTATTGGACACTGGTTTTCCCTCCTGGCCAAACAGGAATCTAATCCTACCTGAGTGGATAACTCTTCCTGTTTGAATAAGAATCTCCAAAGCACACAATTTACAAGTTGTATCGAGAAAGAAAACATTCACACATATGTATTTAAGCTAAAAAAAATTGTTTTCCTGCTGTCTCTTCCCTTCCCTGTGTGCACACTATTTAGATACACCAGGTAAAGCGAACAGTGGCGCATGCCTCACACGGAACCAGTCATTTTTATTCTACATGTGTGCCGTGTCAGTATTGCTCCCCCTGTAGACTGTTACAACTGCTGTGTGTTTGTTGAGCCTCGCCCTCGGCACTAACACTTTCGCATTTGTCCTCAGCATCCTTTCTTCCTGCTGTCTCTCAGTCACTCTTTCAGCTGCACCTGCTCCGTCCTCGCATATCACAGGCCTTCTGTTGAAAGGCTCACACCGTGAGCCGTCTAGAAAGAAAACATTTCTCCCGTCTCTGCGTGTGTTTCAGCTTGTGTCTGTCCGTCAGAGTTTATATTGGCCAATAGGGGCCATCAACAGGACACCTAGTTTCAGTTTCTGTATGTGTGTGTGTCTGTATGAGTTAGAACGTGTGCTCACGCGTGGCTTGAGTGACTGCATCTATTTGAGATAGTGACCGACATTCGGCGGTGCTTATCTGAACATTGTCAGGGGTAATTGTCTGTTTTTTGTTCTATTATCTCACAACCTCAAAACTAAACTAGTGCTCTGCCATTTTTGCTTTTATTGGAAAATCGCATTCCGCCACTGAGCCCCTTCATCCAGTCAAATGTTGTTCAGCGACCGAGACTGAGGACGTTAACCAAACATAGCATCGACTAAATGGCAATATCCAAAGATGAGATGGCCGCAACGGCAAATGTAAAATTTTCCTCACTTCCTTCCTCCTCACTTTCGGTGCCCTTGCTCTGACCTCCCGGCCCCCCACCCCCAACTTTCCAAAAGGCCTTCATGAGCAACCCCTAAAACTGTCTCTGCTAGCTGTAAGCAGTGCAGTATGTCTTTTTTCCCCCAACTAATTTAGAGGCTGCCTTCGTGGATTAATGCATGCACTAACAAAGACTCTCTAATTCCCAGAGGATAGAAGTATTGAATGCACATACAAATCCTCGGTGCCAAGCTTACAAAGGCTATAGCGTGATTACTCAGCTGCTAATTGAACGTTTGTAACCTTCTTAGGTCAAGGCTGAATAGGAAAGTAGCTCTTCAGAAAGTGAAAGACATAAACAGAAGGCAGTTTGGATGGTAATTTCAAAGTTTATGTGTTCTTCACTTTCAAATGAACACTTTATAGCAGATAACTGCATTAAACTGGATTTGTGATTAACGCTTCATTTAAATGGGCTGGTAATTTGCATTAAAATGAGTCCTCGTAATGCCATCAGTAAACACATTCTCCATGAAATATTCTTGCAGGTTAACGAAAAAATGATGAAAAAAACCCTTCAAGAGTCTCTACCGAATTAAGTAATGTTATGTCAAAACCCACAAAAAGAAATGTTTGAGTTGAGGTTACACAACTTGAGTCAAGCCAGGCTTCAAGCGCACAAATACACGGTTTTATTTAAAAACACTATTGCTAACGAGCAAAATGTATTACAAATCTCCCCTTCCAAATGAATGTCAGTCTGCTTTTTAATAGCCATGCTCCATTTAGAGGGACCTGCATCTTACGACACTTTAATGACCATCTTCAAAATAACTCTGGAGGGCTGAAGTTATGACACTGTGAGAATGTGTGAAATCAAAAGACGCGCTCTCCGTAATGAGGACTGAAGAGCAGGGAAAGCGCAGCCGTGATATCCGCCACTAGAGGCTGCTCCCTCTCTGCGCCCGGCAAAGGCATCCAGATCACTCCAGAAAACCTCAAGGATTCTGTGTTCTAATGTGCAGCCTCCAAAGGTTCCCGCCCACTTCAAACGCTCCCTCTCGCACACGGAAAGGTGTGTGAGATTGAAAAAATAAATCCTAAAAAGAAAGCATAAAAATCCTTCAGTCTAAGACGTATTGATCCCTCAGCAATCATCATCCGCTAATGAGCACAACCGAATAACCAGCAACGAATGAATCAGAATCAGAAGCCATTCATTGCCACACACGTCACACATGGAGGGATTAGTCCTGACGATTTGGTGTGACGGAGGCAGCATCCGAGGGGCCGGCCACAGAGGTGGAGATGGCAGGTGACCTCCAGGCAGAGGAGACGGTTTCCACAATGTGTCGGTGACGGAGAAGTGATTTGCAGTTGTGACTGAGGTGGAGAGATTACTTCTCCACAGTGATGCCGGAGGGAGGGAGTGGGGGTGGGGGGGGTCCGGGCGGTGGAGAGGATGAAGAGAGAGTTTACCACAGAGGAGGGAGGGACACCCAGGCGGAAGCTGAGCGTGAGATTGTGGGGTTGAGATCTGGAGACGTGGGAGTGCCGTGTCTTGGTTGCGTGCGTAGGGTCACAAAAGCATTACGGACTGTGTGTGCACCGCCACTAGGTGCCAGTGCAGTGCAGTTAGGAGGAGGGGGGGGTGGTATTATGTTGGAGAATTTCTGAAGGCTGACTGCAGCATTGTGTGTGGATGACCAAAAACAAAGAGGGAGGGAGTAAAGCCTTCGAACCTTGAACTACTGGGAG